AGCTTAATGTAGTGGTCCTGGTGTCTATAGCCTGTCCCTGCAGGCCTTTTAATGTAAACACAGCGGCACTGCAGCACTAGCGTTAGTTAACATGGCAGGTCATATGGGTGGGGCTTTGCGATGTCACGGGGGGGAGGAGGGGGGCGTCAAACTTTACTTTTGCCTAGGGCTGCAAAACCCTAACCGCCCCTGGCAGCACGGCACCCACATGGCAACAAGGCCCCCACATGGCCACATGGCCCCTGTGCCAGCCAGTGGTAAGAAGGGTGGGGATGGCTCAACCTTAAAATTACAAACATATATCTTTAATTCCTAAATAAAAACAAATCCACACCCAGCCACACACATCAACCCAGACACACACAGCACCCAGACACACACAGCAACCTCCAGACACACACACATAACCCAGGACACACACAGCAACTCCCAGACACACACAGCAGCCAGACACACACAGCAACCACCCAGACACACAGCAAATAACCCCAGACACACACAGCACACCCAGACACACACAGAACCAACCCCAGACACACACAGCAACCCAGACACACACAGCACCCCCAGACACACACAGCAACCCCAGACACACACAGCACCCAGACACACACAGTACACCTATACACACAGCACCCCAGACACACACAGCACACCCAGACACACACAGCACACCAGACACACACAGCACACCCAGACACACACAGCACACCCAGACACACACAATCTATTTACACAATACCACACCACATTCTACACACACGCACGCAATCCCACAAGCATGCGCCAAACACATGCACCATACACTTTCCTGGCCCTTTTGTCCTCTGATATCCCACTTGTGGAGACACCAGAGACAATTTAAAAGCAAACACAGCGATAACATGTTATTAAATTTGCTTGCGCTGCGCAGAACAAATACAGGGCCTTTTTCTAATGCCAGAGTTCTTCAGCGAGGCTCTGCGCATTGAACCAACGTGCTCACTTTGAGAGGGGGCGTGCTTGTAATTAGTGATGACAAAACACACCCTCTCTGGCCCCGCCCCCTTCTTAGGGGGCTACTCTGATTGAAAAATACCCGGGCCTAATTTTTTTCCCAGTCCGGCCCTGTTCCAATGGAATGTTGGAGAATAACATTTGGAGATGAGACAGCAAATCCTCAAGCCCATCTCCAGATTCATTCTCCCTTTAAATCAGTGAAACCAACCCAGCCTTTGCCTTAATAAAGAACCAAGGGCTTGGGTAATGGGGATCCCTTGGTTCTAAGCTGAGAGTATGCAATTCTTTTGTCTCGTGCAATAAAACAAAAGTAGCAAGTACCTCCTTTCCTTGCCTGATTAATTATTATTAGTGATTGCTTATATTTCCCATTAAATTATTAAATTTCCCTCTAATTACTGAGAACTGTTCATAACAATAAAAGAAACAAAAAATAATAATAATAATATTGTAGAATTATCCATTACTATAATCTGTGTATCCATATGAGAGAAAACAATCTGGAATCCAGAGTATTTGGGAGTAATGAGAGGAAATTAAATTTCATGGTCGAGGTAGCTGACTTGGGAAAAATAGTTTAGTTGTTTTTAATTTATTTTTATTAATGTTTATATCCATTAACAATGCACACTCATCACCAACCAAAAAGATCAGTTACAATACCAAGTCCTTATACGTATATCCATGTTGAGCTTATACAATCTCGTTAAGGTAGACTTAACATTTGTTGATCTGCAAATTTGATATTGTTTGTAGCTTCTATTTAACAAGACATAATATATATATATACTGTATAGTTTCAAGGACCTCGTCATCTTGTGGTATAGAATAGGTATATGTAATGAGGTGCCCTTACGTATTATCTTTCAAACAAAAGAAACACTAAGAAAACATATAAAATCCTAACATAACATAAAATATAACATAATATCCTAACATAACATAAAAGTCTCAGGTGTCTGTTATTATTTATCTAGTATACTACTTTATTAAGTAGTTTCTGAAAGTGCTAGAGTGTGCGTGATGGACAAGACTGAGGATTTTCCTATGGTTGCGTATTTGGATACCTGGATTTGACTTTGCTCAATAGAGACCCATAGTTTTTATTCAGGTTACATTGACCTGTCTACTATGCAACTCAGGTGGATTGCATAATAGTAGAAAAGAATATATCCCTTTCTTTAGGACGTGTAAGTATATGATATGCTATACTAGGTTTTCACTTTGCCCAGATGAACTATGTAAACATGGTTTGTATAGATTGCAAGAACCTTCTAGGAATGGAGAAGGACATGGTCTAAATCTTTGGCACGTGGAGTCCCCACATATTTTATTGAGCTTTGGCCCATTGGAATGCATATTCGTATTGCAGATGAATTTTCTTTCTGGTTGTATTTAGCATTTTTTAATGTTAATTTTAAAGTTCGAAAGAGAGCTATAATTCAATATCTTCTCGATAAGAGGAGGTAGAGTCTGGGTTGGGTTTACCAAAGTAAATAGAAGGTCTTCCACGAATGCAGAGACTTCACATTCCTTTTTTCCCTAGGTTCATACATTTAATAGAAGGATTTTTCCAAATCGCTCACAAGAAGGATTCTTAAACCCAAATAAATAAAAGAGGGTAAAGCAGGCACCTCTGTTGTGTTCCGTTACTAGCGGTAAAGGGATCAGAACCATTTCCATTAACCTTGAGTTTGGCTGTCGAGTGCGAGTCTATAGCTCTTCTATCGTAAAAGGTTGATCAAAGGATCGACTAACTGCTGGAGGGATAGTTTGATCAAATGTATCTGCCAGATATTGTGTTATGGCTGATTTGTCTGAAGACGTATGATTTAAATGATAGAGTGCCTGATAAAATTCCCTAAGTGCTTCCACTATTTCTTCCGTGGTTTTAACAGTTTTTTTTTTTTTTTTAATTCTTTATTTTATTCGTAGGTTGAATAGGTTAGACAAGCATGATTGCACTGCCACAACAGCTGGTGCTGGTGGACATAGTATAATAGTTGTGTGACACCAAGAACATTGTGTCAGGATCGTGACAGGGATCCAACACGCAGAATACAAACAGGGGATAGGTACGTATACCGGACCTTAGAATGGCCGGACTAACGTAAGGAGAAGGCAAAAGAATAGTCAGAGACAAGCCGAGGTCGAGGGAACGAGAGATCAGGTAAGCGAGAGACAAGCCGAGCCAAAAGGACAAGAGAGGGAAGCAGGGTCAAAATACAAGCCAAGTCAGGAACCAAAAGACAATAGAGGTAATTGCACTGAGTGACCAGACTAGCTAGAACCACGACAGGGCAATGAATCATTTCACAGAACCCTTTTTTATACCTTGGCTCTTTAACTGTTGGCTCCGCCCCCAACGAGTCCTGATTCGTTGTTCGGCACTGGGTTGCCGTGATTGACGGGTCGGAACGTGATTGCCGTCATGACGTCGGCTACTGAGTGCCGCGTCATAAAAGGAGGCGGAGCTATCGCGGCCGGCGTGTAAACGGCCGGGAGGAGTGCAAGGATCGGGTGAGTCAGCCCCCCTGGGAGGATGGACGTCTAGGTGTCTAACCTCCTCCGAGGTAGACACCAAAGGTACCCTGACACATTGCACATTTTGTGTTAAAGGACCACTATAGTGCCAGGAAAACATACTCCCCCCTCCTGCCGGGCTCTAGGGTGTGGAAGGGGTTAAACTTACCTCTTTCTCCAGCGCCGTGCAGGGAGCTCTCCTCCTTCTCTCCGCCTCCTCTCCTCCTCTTCGGCTGAATGCGCATGCGCGGCAGGAGCTGCGTGCGCATTCAGCCAGTCCATAGGAATGCTTTCCTATGGACGCTGGCGTCTTCTCATTGTGAAAATCAGTGAGAAGCGGGGAAGCCCTCTAGCGGCTGTCAATGAGACAGCCACTAGAGGCTGGATTAACCCATTTATAAACATAGCAGTTTCTCTGAGGAGGAGAGGAGGCGGAGAGGAGGAGGAGAGCTCCCCGCCCGGCGCTGGAGAAAGAGGTAAGTTTAACCCCTTCTTCCCCCCAGAGCCCGGCGGGAGGGGGTCCCTGAGGGTGGGGGCACCCTCAGGGCACTATAGTGCCAGGAAAACGAGTATGTTTTCCTGGCACTATAGTGGTCCTTTAAGAGCTTTGGCAAGTAGACTACCACAGCGATTACTTGGGCATACTAGTTTGCTAGTTACTAGTTTCCAATACTCGTCCTCTAAGAAGGAAACTTTGTATGTCTTCTATATTTCTAATTTATTCCATAATTTGTACTCTACATTTAGATTTATGCCTTTTAAGGAAAGAGCCCCATATTACTAGTTCTCCTCTCAGGATGTATTTGTACTCTTCCCATTGTAGGAAGGGTGTAGTTCCAGGGGTTTTCGTTTCAAGGAAGTATTTTTTATAGTGGAGAAATATGCCTCTCTTGCCTGTTTGTATTGTGAAATAGTAGGGTTTCATTTCCAGTGGTATTGTGTGGATGGTAGTGTGGCGATTTTAAACTGGAGAAAAATAGGTAAACAGTCTGTCCAGGTAATATTGCCTATTAAGACTTCTGCAACCAATGACAGGTCTTTATGACTGTTGCAGAATTCTCCAACAGTCCACAAATTGGTTATTGTGCTTCTAGAGGATTCAAGGTGGGTAGGATTGTGTGTAGTGCTGACTTTTTGTGCATCTAGAGATCAACCGAAGTCGGCCTCTTTCTACATGTCGAGCAACTGTGTTCATAATGTGTTGAAATGTAGCATGTTGATCTTTTGTTCAGAAGGTACATATTCACTAAGGTTATGGGAACTTATACTACTAAACACTTGAATATGAGATACTGGCCTTAGTCAGAAGAGACATTTATTATTATTATTATTATTATTGCCATTTATATAGCGCCAACAGATTCTGTAGCGCTTTACAATAATATGAGAGGGGGATTTAACTATAAATAGGACAATTACAAAAAAAAACAACTTACAGGAACAATAGGTTGATAGGTTGAAGAGGACCCTGCTCAGTCGAGCTTACATTCCATGGGAGGTGGGGTGTAAAACACATTAGGACAGGAATTTGCAGTCAAATAAGGTGGGCTGCCCTTTAGGAGAGAGCAAGAGACAGGTATGTAAGGTAGAGGTTAGTCTTGGAGGCCATAAGCTTTCCTAAAGAGATGGGTTTTAAGGCACTTCTTAAAAGATGCAAGACTAGGGGAGAGTCTGATGGCAGTAGGCAGGCTATTCCATAGGAAGGGAGCCGCCCGCGAGAAGTCCTGCAAGCATGAGTTGGGCGGTCAACGGACAGGAGGTGGTCACGGGCAGAGCGGAGAAACCGA